CAGAACTGCCCCAGGAGGGTCTCTGGTTCTGCCCCAGGAGGGTCTCCCCTGCCAGGGCAGCCCCCAGGGAGGTGCCCACCTTGGGGCTCACAAACTCACAATTCCCACCTCTGACAAACAGCAGGATTGAAATGTTATTAAAAAAGATGAAGATCTCCCACTTGCCAACATCAGCTTCAAAGTAGCCACAGTATCAGGGCAGAGAGGAGGCTCAGCATGTACATTGAATTTGTCTGGTTTTCTGTACATTGAATTTTTCTGGTTTTCTGTATATTTGTCTGGTTTAAATTCTGCTTTAAAACATTCCTCCATGCCCAAAGCCAGGCATTCTGAACCTGCTGTGTGGAAATGCATGGCTGAGTCTTGGAAAAGACACGTTGGTTATAGGTCACTGCTGCCGAGGCAAAAGGTTGGAGCACAAAAGTTAAAAAATACACAGGTAGAGAGGTCCTAAAAAAAGGGATAAAGTTACTTTCCTTCTAAACACAACTCCCTGGAACAAACAGCTACTTTTGGACAGCACAGACTGAAAATCTCAATTTTTAAGACCTCAATTAATACAAAATCTACTAAGTGCTTAGTATACATTTGAGGATGTGTAGGGGAGGAGTGATTTTAAACTCAGCTTTACAAAGCCACATGTTTTACTTGCCTAACACTAAAAACCTGTTGGGACTACCCAAGTGCCAGAATGTGAGTGCCCTAAAATTAAAAGCAATCAATAGAGCAGGAGGAAGTGGCTGGTGCTGTGTGATCCAGCTGAGCTCAGTTAAAATATAAAAAATATGTGAGAAATGTGAGCAAGATCCTCAACTCCAAAGGAATGGAGAAAAGCTGTTTATTCCACCTGAGAATTCCATATCCTGTATAACTTCAATGGCTGGGCTAAAATATTAAATGCTAAAATATTTTAAGGGATAAAATAGTGAAGATATTTAAATTAGTTAAAATATTAAATTAGTTAAAATATTAAAATAGTTGTAAGAAATGTGAGCAAGATCTTCAACTCCTAAAAGCAGCACAGGAACGGAGAATAGCTGTTTATTCTACCTAAGAATTCCTTATCCTGTAGAATTCCTTATCCTGTATAACTGCAATGTATATTAAATACTAAAATCTTTTAAGGGCTAAAATAGTTAAACTATTTAAATTAGTTAAAATATTAAAATAGTTAAAACATAAAAAATATGTAAGAAGTGTGAGCAGGATCCTCAACTCCTAAAACCAGCACAGGAATAGAGAATGCCTTATTCCACCTGAGAATTCCTTATCTTGTATAACTTCAATGGCTGGGCTAAAATATTTTAAGGGATAAAATATTAAAATAGTTAAAATAGTTAAAATATAAAAAATATGTAAGAAGTGTGAGCAGGATCCTCAATTCCTAAAAGCAGCACAATAATGGAGAAAAGCTGCTTATTCCACCTGAGAATTCCAAGTTTGCTCCAGTGTGCAGCTGGAAAAAACTCCTATAAACCTACTTTGCTACTACTGCCTTGTGTACCTTCATCCCAGCAAAATTAGGATTTAAAAATCAGCTTCCAGTATCAAACAGGACAGATTTCCACACACAAAATCCAACATACCCAGGACACCACTCTTCCATTGAAGCAAGGGAGCTTTGCATTGTCGTCTGAGATCTCTTCCTTCACCACCCTGGAAAAGAAAAAAAAAACAACAAAAGGAAAAAAAATCAGGAATTTGAAATCACATCAGATCAGAATGGACTGTGGTTTTATCATATTGTCCAGGAAAAACACCATTTTTTCATTAAAATGTGGGTGTCGGCAGGTGCTGTGTGCTTAAAGAATATGGGATTGTGAGAATAGAGGAAATAAATGAAAATAAAGGATAGAACAGCAACTTTCCAGACAACCACCCCAAAGTGGGAGGCACTAAAGTAATTTCAAGAATTTCTCATTTTGGAGTCTGCCCAGAGCTCTGGGTCTGATGGGAACTAAAATCCCCCTGTGCTGAAATCCCCTCTGTGTCAGAGATCACACATTTGTACCAAAAAATCAGATTTCTGGCCTCAAATTCACTGCAGAACAGAAACAAATTTGCTTTTGACAATCTGAAGCCTGAAGTCTCATCAAACTCCACCAAAATGTGTGGATCCACAAGCACATTTTCCTTTATTTATGTTTTTGCCTTGTTGCTGGGTGAAGAAAAACCACAATAACCACAAAGCAACTCACTGGGTATAAAACACTGTCGTGTTGAGGAGGGGCTGGCTAGGAGGGAGAACAGAGCAAATTGAGTTTATTTTGAAAAATTACAAATAAATAACTCCACTACTAATGCCTGCATTCCCACACATTTTAAGGAATAAGCACTTTTTTTTTTCTCCACACTTATTTGCATTGTTAATGGCTGGCAGGGCAAAATTAGGCAATCTTCACCTCTTTTTTCTATTATTGGAAAGAAAAACATTGTAAAATATTCACTTAATTCCTAAACCATCTGTCCTCCCTTCATCTTTTGGCAGCAGGGATCAGATCATATGATTGATTCAATTTTTGTTTTTAGTCATTTATCCTCAGACTCCGAGGAGCAAACTCCACTAAAAGCACAAAGTCAGGGCTTTAAAAACCTCTGACAATTCAGAGAAGCTCTCAGACCTGTAATTCTGGAGCTGCAAACTCAGGATTTCAACACTCTCCTGGATCTGGAATCTTTTGTGTCCTGCAGGGAACACTCACTCAGCAGAGCTCCAGCTGCTGGATCAGCAGAGAAAAGTGCTGCAAGAATTTTATCTGCAGGTTTGAAAGGGCAGGACCTGCAGGAAATTACATTTAGGGCACCCCAGAAATGTCACGTGAGAATTTCTGCACCCAGTAAAAATCCCACACAGAATTTCTGCACCCAGCAAAAAAACATAAACAGAATTTTTGCACCCAGGAAAAAAAATCATACATAGAATTTCTGCTCCCAGCAAAAATCCCACACAGAACAGAAAACCTAAAACTCAAGGTATGCTTATTCCCATCCCAATCCTGTAGGACTGTTGTGCCTTCAGTACCATGTGAAAAGATCCTGATAACATTGATATAGACCCAAAAGCTGCACACCAAAGCAGAACAGAAAACCTAAAGCCACAGATATCAGTTTATCCCCATTCCTGTAGGATTGTTTTGTCTCCACCACCCTGTGAAAAAATCCTAGTAACATTAATAACAAACTAAAAGCTGCAAACCAAAGCAGAACAGAAAAAACCACAAGTATCACTTTATTCCCATCCCATTTCTGGAGGAATGTTTTACATTCAGCACTCTGTGAAAAGATCCTAACTCTATATATAAAACTAAAAGCTGCACACCAAAGCAGAACAGAAAACCTAAAACCCAAGGTATCAGTTTATCCCCATCCCATTCCTGTAGGATTATTGTGCCTTCAGTACCATGTGAAAAGATCCTGGCAACATTTAATATCAAACCAAAAGCTGCACACCAAAGCAGAACAGAAAAACCTAAAAGCACAGATATCAATTTATTCCCATCCCATTCCTGTAGGATTGTTCTCCCTTCAGTACCATGTGAAAAGATCCTGGCAACATTAATATAAAACCAAAAGCTGCACACTAAAACAGAACAGAAAAACCACAGGTATCACTTTATCCCATTCCTGTAGGATTATTTTGTCTCTACCACCCTCTGAAAAGACCCTAATATTTAATATCAAATTAAAAGCAGCACCCCAAAGCAGAACAGAAAACCTAAAAACACAGATATCAGTTTACCCCAATCCCATTCCTGTAGGATTGTTTGGCATTCAGCGTCGTGTGGAAAGATCCTAACACTAAATATCAAACTAAAAGCTACACACCAAAACAGAGCAGAAAAACCACAGGTACCACTTTATCCCCATCCCATTCCTGCAGGATTATTTTGCCTTCAGCACCACGGGAAAAGATCCTGGTAACATTAATCGAAAGCCAAAAGCTGCACCCCAGAACAGAAAACCTAAAACCCCAAATTTTCAGCTTGCTCAGCTTCTGCTGCAGCTGAAGGGAACAACTTCCAGCTCTGCTGCAAATTGAAACTACCAAATATAGCCCTGAGCTATGGGGAAAGGGAATGGCAGGCTGGGAGAGAGCAGCAGCCAAGAACAGCCAGGACAGCAACAGCCACTGGTGGTGAAATTGGCCAAAAGTCTGACAAAAATGGCTAAAATTTGTACAAATTTGGAGTAAAGAGGCTAAAAATGGCTAAAAATTGTACAAAAAATGGCTAAAAAATGTATAAATTTGGAGTACAGAGGCTAAAAATGGCTAAAAGTCATACAAAAATGGCTAAAAATTGTACAAATCTGGAGTAAAGAGGCTAAAAATGGTTAAAAATGTACAAAAATGGCTATAAATTATATACATTTGGAGTAAAGAGGCTAAAAATGGCTAAAAGTCATACAAAAATGGCTAAAAGTGGCTAAAAATTGTATAAATTTGGACTACAGAGGCTAAAAATGGCTAAAAGTCATACAAAAATGGCTAAAAATGGTACAAATTTGGAGTAAAGAGGCTAAAAATGGTTTAAAATGCACAAAAATGGCTAGAAATTATATAAATTTGGAGTAAAGAGGCTAAAAATGGCTAAAAGTCGTACAAAAATGGCTAAAAATGGTACAAATTTGGAGTAACGAGGCTCCTTTCCATCCCCACCCTGGTGTTGGCAAGGTCACAGCTGGAGTGCTGCTCTTCTCTTCCTGAGGTGAAGAATATTCCAATCCAAAACAGCAAAACTATTTTTAAAAAGTGATTTCTCTCGTAGACATCTTCCTGAGATGAAGAATATTCCAATCCAAAGCAAAATAACAATTTTTAAACAGCGATTTCTCTCGTAGACATCTGCCTGAGGTGAAGAATATTCCAATCCCGAACAGCATAACAAGGGAAAAAAGTGATTTTTCTCAGAGATATATTCCTGATGTCAAGAATATTCCAATTCAAAGCAAAATAACAATTTTTAAAAAGTGGTTTCTCTGATAGATATCTTCCTGAGGTGAAAAGTATTTCAACCCAAAACGGCACAAAGAAAAAAAGGTGATTTCTCCCAGAAATTTCTTCCTGAGGTGAAAGATATTCCAACTCAAAACAGCATAACAAGGAAAAAAAGGTAATTTCTGCCAGAGACCTCATCCCGAGGTTAAAAATATTTCAACCCAAGCCAGTAAAAAAAGAAAAAAAAGGTGATTTCTCTCAAAGACTATTCTGAGGTGAAGAATATTCCATCCCAAAACAGCAAAACAAGGAAAAAAGGTGATTTCTCCCAGAAACCTCTTCCTAAGGTGAAGAATATTCCAATGCAAAAAAATATGGCAAGGAAAAAAAAGTGATTTCTCTCAGAAACTTCTTCCTGATGTGAAAAATATTCCAACCCAAGTCAGCAAAACAAGGAAAAAAGGGTGATTTCTCCCAGAAACTTCTTCCTGAGGTGAAAAATATTCCAACCCAAGTCAGCAAAACAAGGAAAAAAAGGTGATTTCTCCCAGAAACTTTTTCCTGAGGTGAAGAATATTGGCACTGGATGTGGTCCACCCTGGAGATAAATCACCAGAGCTCTCAAACTGATTGTTAATGTTTGAAAATAAGACCAAAGAGCATCTGATAGCAGGGCACAGAAAAGGAGATGTTTATCCCCTTTCAGAAAAAAGGTATTTATTTCCCAGGTCACGTCCTGCCTGTTGGCAGCCCTGTGCCTGTGGAAGGTTGGAAGGCACAGAGAGCACAGCACACCCATAATTTAGAGATATTTTTTTTTTTTTCAATATTCACACACAATATTCAATGTTCTTCACAGATTTGTGGCATCTCCCTCTGCTGCAATCCAGAAAAATCTCCATTCACAAAACATCTTTTAATTCATCTTTCCAATGCATCTACCAGGTAAAAGTAAAGAAGGAGAAGCAAACAAACACCTGGCCACAAAATTGACATTTCCAGGTTCCCACTGCCCCACAATTGCCCCTTGGAATTTAGAGATTTTGCCCATAATTTAGAGATTTTTCTTCAATATTCAATATTCTTCACGGATTTGTGGCATCTCCCTGTTTGCTGCACTCCTGAAAAATCTCCATGCACAAAATATCTTTAAATTCATCTTTCAAATGCATCTACCAGGGGGAAGGAAGGTAAAAGAACACAGGGAGCAGCAAACAAACACCTGGCCACAAAATTGACATTTCCATGTCCCCACATTTGCCCCTTGGAATGGAGAGCACAGCACACCAATAATTTAGAGATTTTTTTCAGTATTTTCAATATTCAGTATTCTTCACAGACTTGTGGCATCTCCCTGTTTGCTGCACTCCAGAAAAATCTCCATGCACAAAATATCTTTTAATTCATCCTTCAAATGCATCTACCAGGTAAAAGTAAAGAATGCAAACAAACATCTCCCTGTTTGCTGCACTCCAGAAAAATCTCCATGCACAAAATATCTTTAAATTCATCTTTCAAATGCATCTACCAGGGGGAAGGAAGGTAAAAGAACACAGCCAAGGTCACATCAGAGACAGACCATGAAAAATACCCCAAACACCTGCTCTACCCCACCAGCAAAGCCCCCAAATGCGTGAATATCCGAAAAAAAAAAATTTAAAAGATGAGGAAATGTAGGTAAGGGAGGAGGGAACAGCTCCACAATCTCACATCCTCTGCT